GAGTGAGAGTGTAGGGTGAGCGTGAGAATGAGAGGATTGGGAGATGAAGAGTGAGTGGGAAGTTGAGAGAGTGAAGAGAGTGGGCAGTTGTGAGAGGTTAATGGGGCACCTGAAGGGTCACGCCGGGCGCGGTATCAGTAGAATCTCAAGAGTTGCCCTCTTCTGGTATGGCACCGGGCTTGGCAGAGACGCGCCCAGCGTATTTAAGGCTCAGACCTTCCAGTAGTTAATGCGCCCGGCGCACCAATAAATGCGCCGGGCTTGGTCGTTCCAGGGGCTTTAATGAAGGCTGGGCCGGGCGCAATTAGAAATTGCGCCCGGCGTGGGTCTTGGCAGAGACCAATTAACACTAGGTACGCTGGGTGTGGTAGTGTCGCGCCCGGTGTGATCAATTCTATGAAGATTTCACCTAGTTTTTCCACTCCTCACACTCCTAACAGGATCTAACCTATATTAACCCACTCAAGAAGGATTCACACCATTAATACCTAACATAAAACACAAATAGCACAACATAATACAACATACATATCACAGAACATAAACAACCACAAAACAAGTCCCATAAACAAGTATAGCATACAATTATAACACAACAATCATAATAAAAGCGGAAGACATAAAGCACTGAGAAACATAAGCAATAAAGTTCAGATCTCTGGGTTGCCTCCCAGGAAGCGCTTGTTTAATGTCCCGAGCCTGACAAGAAGAGACCTCAAGGGTCTCTGAAAGAAAGGATACAGTAGAGTCTTCCATCCTCCATGAGTGCTTTCTTTTTATCTCTACTTTCTCCTTCTTTTTCTTTATCAGTTTCTCCCTTTTTGTCACTCTTTTTGTCATTTTCAATTTTCATTTTATTTCCTTCAACCAACTCAATTCCTTTACTCCATCTTCATAGTCTTGGCTCTCTTATTATTCTTCTCACTCTCCTTCACCACAAATTCCCTACCACTTCTCGTGCATACTGCATTTTAGTGCCCCTTAGGGTTTTGCTCGGTGTTGGCTGAAAAAGAACCCTTTTGTTGCTTTGCTAGCTACTTTGCTATTTGCCCCACCTGTATCTCCAGATGGCCTATTGACCTTTTCTGTAAACGTCCGGAAACAGCAATTGCAAAAAACAAGAAGGAGAAATTGAAGCAAATAAGTATAAGGGAGAGTTGTGACAAGGAAGCTACAGCAAGGGTCCACCAATATATAGCCCGGTTTTGGTATCAAGCTGGACTATCTTTTAATATGATCAAATTGGAGAGCTTTCATGACATGGTTGCAGCTATTGGGTCTTTTGGACCGCATTTGCGACCTCCATCTTATCATGAGATAAGAGTTCCACTTCTCCAAAAAGAGATGGAGTATACTGAAAAATTGATGAAGAGTCAAAAGGAACATTGGGCTAGTTTTTTTTACAATAATTGCAGATAGTTTCATTGGTATCATTCTCTTTGGTAGGATGACAATGTTTCCATCCTATGTCTGTTCTCTTAACAGAGTTTGAGGATGTTTGACTTTGGCTTGGAATTGGATTGCTAGACATTGTCCTAAAAATAAGAAAAAGAACAATAATAAAATAGGCACTCAATGTTAGTTTAGAATTTAGAATAAAATAGAAATTTAAATTGACCCAATTGGTAGAAGAATTAGGATTAAAAAATTGTTGCTGCAGATGCAACTGTATAATCTTCACTACCAAGAGTCACATCTTCCATTACTCTTTGGCATGACTCACTTTCTTTCATCTTCTTATTTTTCTCAAGTGTCCACAACTCATCTTTAACCTCTTGTGGAACACTTTGACAAGGTGCAACATTTCCCTTCTTTCCCATTAAATGTTGCTTTGCTCTTGTAATTCCTCCTTTCATGATTTTTTTACAATAATTGCA